ATGTGATGTGTTTGAAATTATAGTACGATTAAGTCAATGGCTGAACTGTAAACAGAACCCAGGGTACCCAACTGTTAGTCTGCTGCTCCAACTAATGGACCATGCTCCCTGCTATGCAATAGGACTGTTTTCTTTAATTACCAATTCTTCATTCACCATCAGATTATCAGCCAGAGGCCTTAGCATTAGTTTCCCTCTTCTTGCATCCAAGGCATTATTTCAAGAATATCAGATTTCCTTGATAAAAAATATAAAGGTCACTGCATACGGCATCATACCAAGTCTGAAAATTCCAACTGCTGTGGCAAGGATACTTCACCAAGCCTCACTTAATGGTGCATTAACGGGTAGAACTGTGATTTTAACGTCCATTTTTATTTGGTCAACGACCTACATAAAGTAGATTTCGTTTTTATATGAGCACTAATATCTGTGCACTTAAAATCAGACGTTAGGGCATTCTACAGCCTTATCAGTCATCAATATCCACATATATGACCTGTATGTAAAAGTCTAGTAGGTGGCAGATTGTTAAAGGCACATTCTAGAGCATTTATGATATTGTGAAGTGGAATAAGATAAAAAAAATCCTGAGATGTTACTTACGTCCTAGGCTAGGTCTCCAAGACAGAAGTCACAGGGTAAACAAACAAAGCGAGTATCTGAGGAGCGGCGCTGGGACATGGTCTTGGAGAAGCACTGTGCGTTTCTCTGGCACCCTCACGGCAGCAGGAGGGCAGCAGCCTTGCCCTTGGTGCTGATTTCTTATAACTCTAAACGCCTCCTCTGAGCCAGAATCCACTGGCTGCTGCTGATCATGCTGTGAGACACCTGCGCTGGCTACCAGGCTCGTCATGAGGCACGAAACCTACCATCTTGGGCCTGACACTGTGCAAGTTATAATTACTCATCCAAATGAATATGTCAGCGCAACAGCAGCAGACCTCTCATCAAAGCAAAAGAAAAATACATCAAAACATTATCAACCCAGCAGGCAGACAAGGACCATAAGGAAAATTACCCATCTTTTAATACGGATGCCACAAAGCCGCGTCTATTATCTGACAAAAAAAAAAAGAAAGGAAAATAAAGATCTTCCGAGTTGAAGGTCCAGAAACACTGAATCCAAAGAGGAAACACACAAGAGCAGACAAGGATTTTTTTTTTCTTTTAAATCAATTATCTGGAACCTATTTACAGCTCCTTAAATATAAGTTTACTATTAGACTACAATAGTAACATTTATGCTGCTTAAGACCTACAATTGTTAAAAATAATAGTAATAACTCCTACAAACAAAATTGTTTCCAAACAATCAGTGAAAAAGAATCATACACAGCAAAGAAGTGTGATATTGCTTCTTTCTTTCAAAACCTAAACCAATACTGACAACATTCTTATTATGTCTAAAAGATGCAAGAGTTCACCCTGCTCAGAGCATCACCAAAATGCTTACAGTTCAATGCTGGACTCTAAAACAAAAGCGAAATTATATTTTGTGAAAACCTCCTACATTTTAATGGCATGTATAAAAGAAAAAAAACTGTGAAATCACAGATGAAAAAGATATACCCAAATTCTATAATCATATATAAAACAGGCAAGTGTAAACACAGATTCCCATCTCATACTTAAAAAATGTGAAAGAAAAAAAAAAGGGAGAAACTTTCAGAGCAAACTATAGGAAAATATCTTTTCAGATCAAAACAGTGAAGACTTCTTATTTGAGCCACAAAAAGCACAAACTTCATGGAAAAGACTGATAAATGTCACCACATTAAAAGTTCAACTGTATGGCAAACCACATCGTATACAAAGTTAAAAGACGTGCTACAGGAAGAAGATATTTAAAACCCAATAACCGAAAAAGAATTCGTATCGAAATATATAAGGAAAGTTTACAATCAAAGGAAAATAAACATTTTTTTAATTAGGAAAGTTTATGAGCACAATAATGATACTTTAGCAATTCTAGATAAGAATTAAACTCAGAATAATTAAGATCAGGACTAAGACTTGGCAAGGATTTGGGAGTGTAGGGATGGCTATGCCTTCCGGGGTGGAAGTATAAATTTATACAGCCACTTTGGAAAGACAGCTGGGCTATGTCTAGCAACTCTGAGGAGGCGCAGTCCCTGTAATCCAGCATGTGCACTTCTAGGTCTAACCTGCAGGAAAAGCCTCACACACGTGCACAAGAGAACATGCAGACGATGTTCACTGAAGTACTGTGAGTAACAGTAAGAAACTGAAAACAAGCTTATCAGCAGGGCAGCACGTAAATTAAAGCGTTGATTCACATAGTGAAACAAGATAAAGCATTTAAAATAAATATACTAGGCACACATATATCATGGATAAATCTCAGAAACAATGTTGTGTTAAAAAGAAGTCAGATTGCAAATGTCATAGAATATAGTACCAATGCAGCAAAATAAAATAAATGCATGGATAGTGTACACACCAATTTCTAGAAAAGGAGAGAAAGAGGAAAGGAAGGAGAGAGAGAAGGTGGGGTCGTACCGGTTCCTCGTACATTTTATTTCTAAGAGAGGAGGAGAGATGCGGTTGAAGGAAATGTGGCAATGTATTAACGTCGGTCAAATCTGAGCTGCACTTACAAAGTAGTCTTAATGTTTACTTGTTCTTTGCTAAGAATATTTGATATACTCTATAACTAAAAGAGAGAAGTTATGACATTGCAGTTATTACTAAGTTTCCTTGGAGTTAGTACAAAACAGAAAATTTGTTTCATGACACAATTAAATCTAAAACTTGAATTTGATTTAATAGAAACACTCATTTTGTGCTTATTTGTGCAAGGCACAGAGCTGGTGTTAAGTGGGGATACAAAACTTAAGAGAAACTGCCTTCACAACTTCCCACAGAGTAGAGGAAGAGTCACAAATTAATCTTGTTAAACGGCACAATAAAGTAAGTGCTAAGTAGTCTTTGTGCTGAGATGCAAACTTTTTCAGATGAAACTCTGGGGAAAATTTGTACGGTTATCTATATACGAAACACTAAGAAACTCATCAAAAATATATCCTTCAACTTGGAAGTGTGATAAATACTAAAGCATAACTTAGAGCTAGTTTATCGAAAAGAGTAATATAATCCCGGTATAATATTCTTCCATGAGATCACTTAAACATAAAGAAAAGGCTTATGGACCCAACTATAAAATGTATATTAAAAAACAAGAAAAACATACAATTTACATATAATTCCAATTCTATTTTAAAGAAACCAACACAGTATTTTATATACTTATAACACATATCAAAATACCAAAAGCAAATCATAGGCTTTTCTCTCTCCTTTATTTTTTGCAGTATTTTTTCCATTTCCATCAGGGGAGAAAAACTTAAGACACGCACACCTTCATAAGACTATTTAAATTCTGTTAGGCATTTTTTCTTAACTGATTTCACATTACAAGACAATTACTTTACTTGCACACATTTTAAATGAAAGCATAAATGTTTATTTGAACCTAATCAAAATTTCTTAACAAAAATATGGGTGGCCTCGTGTTATGGATCAAATTATGTCCCCCCAAAATATGTGTCATTTTGGCTAGGCCATGATTCCCAGTATTGTGTGGTTGTCCCTCATTTTGCGATCTGAAGTAATTATCCAGTGTGTTATAAATCCTACCCTCTATGATGTTAATAAGGCAGGATTAGAGGCAGTTATGTTAATGAGGCAGGACTGAATCTACAGGGTTAGGATGTATCTTGAGTCAGTCTCTTTTGAGATGTAAAACACAGAAGCAAGGAGAGGGACCTCCTTCCAACCAGAGAGAAAAGCTGAAAGCAAAGCTCATCCTTTGGACCCGGGGTCCCTGCACTGAGAAGCTCCTAGACCAGGGGAAGACTGATGACAAGGACCTTCGTCCAGAGCCAACAGAGAGAGAAAGCCTTCCCCTGGAGCTGACGCCCTGAATTCGGACTTCTAGCCTCCTAAGCCGTGAGAGGATAAATTTGTTTGTTAAAGCCAGGCACTTGTGGTATTTCTGTTATAGCAGCACTAGATAGCTAAGACACCTCTATTTAGAGAATATTTATAAAATGTCACTAGGGATTTTTTTCTCTTTGCATAACACTAGAAATGTTGTCTCCATTTTGCTTTCAGTTTCCACAAGGGACTTGGTGAAAGGACCATGCTTATCATCACTAGACCATTCTTTGAACCTGACCACCATTCTGCCACAACTTTCAAAATCACACACACACACCAGTGATGATGGCTGATAATCATACTACCTTACATCTATATAATGTTACAGTTTACAAAGCACTCTCCACACGTTATCTTGCTAGATATCATCAATGTACTAAGAAACTAAATTGACAGCAGTAGCAGAAAGAACTTCTCGTATCTTCACTCAAAATATGACTGTTTCAAAGCACACAAAATACAGTTTCAGTTCAAGAATGAAATAAGAACTTAAAACAATAAAACCTGAATAAAAATAGCAGGGTTTGTATCTTCAGTCATAACTCGTTCTCTTCTGAAAAATATTCTCTGATATTACATCATCAGTGTTGAGTTTTGGCAATATGTGAAATTTCACCCAATTGTCCGCTTACTGCTCACAACTTTACAATTAGCTCTTTAGGATTTAAATTTAAAGGAAACGTTCTGTCTAAAAAGTTTCCATATGTTTTACCTAAAATGAAACATAAAGATCTGGAGGCTGGAAGGGTATGGGTGTGTGTATATGTGAAGAGAGAAAGGACTGTTTGTGTGTGTGAGTATGTGAGTGAGTGTGTATGTATGTACGTGTGTGTGTGTGTGTGTGTGTGTGTGTAGAGAAAGAAAAGACATTAAGTATAAGGAAATATGAAAGAAGCATCCCAGAAAGTCCACTTATAAATACGTGCTTAAAGAAAACTGAAAAAAAAAAAAAAAAAATCACTTTATAACGTATAATAACCTCTCACAAGTAAATGAAATATACTTTTTAACTAGTTAAAATAAATTTAAGAATTTACCTGTGGTGTCCAAGAAATGGGAAACGGAACAGGAAAATCCACAACACAATCTGGGGATTCTGCTGGATACTACGAAAAAAGCGCAAAATTAAGTCACTTTTGCTTCTGTGCAATAATCTCACGTGAGGTATTTCAGAAAAACTGAATATATTAGGAAATTTTATTACAAATTCAAATGTATCAAACAATTTTGAATCTACTCTTATAGTGATGATACAAGCTGATTAATACTCAACCTATGTGCAGGAGACAGGAAGTTTGGTGATTTGCGGGTGGCAAGGCAGTGAGTGTTGAGAAAGAATAATGAATTAAGTCAGTGTCACGTCAGCTGCTGATACTGTGATCTGAGGGGTGACCCACTCTAAATCTTGGTTTTCTTTATCTTTCAAGTAAGAAGTCTAACTAGTGGATATTTAAGTTCCTTCCAGTTGTAAAATTTAATCTCAAATTGCCTCAGTCACCATTTAAACAGGCAGTATCTGTTAAAAGAATCAAGAAATGCACAAAAATGGACAACATACAACTATGAATTAAAAGAATGATTTTCCACATTAAAGCAACTGTTTTTAGCAAGAAGATAAATGAAAACAGACAAGGAAATGTCTTCTGGCTGATTAAGGAAAAACAAAAGTAATAGAAACACTTTTAAGGAAGAAAAACCTTTTCAAGATTGGTAAATAGAAAATTAATTCTTCAGTTAGTTACACAGAAAGTGGTCCCTCAAAAGTAAATCTCCAGCCCAGTCACGAGGACAAACCAGGATTCTAAGTTAACCAACACAAAAGGTAGTGCTTCATAATATCAACGTTCTCGTTACAGAATTGCACTAGCTAATATCTTTAACATTTAATTCTAGCATTCTTCAAAATCACGTGTAATTTAAAAATACTCATTTTTTCCCACTTCAGAGTTAAATTTACTGACAGAAAATTAATTTTAGGAAAACTTGTTTCTCTCATTTGACAAAATGCTCAAAATAAGCTTTAGGCTTCACTTTTTTCCGCCTCCTATTTTTCTTCTCTGGGTAAGCAAAAGAGGACAAAAAAAAAAAAAAAAAAAAAAAACTCCCCCTATAGAATTTGAGAATCATCAGCCCACTTGAAGTCAATGCTTTTAAAAGAGTTAACATTTAGCTATCGCTTGGCTAAAAAGAAACTTTTTATCAATGTACTCCCTGACTAATAATAGCTTGCCACATAGAACTGATAACCCAAAGGCAAATATACAAGAAACCATATAAAAAATATTATAATGCTTATATCTCAGGAAAGAATGAAAGGTCGGGTTGAGGTTAAGGGAGGCAGCACTATTTCAGACAATTCAAAATATCAAACGACCCTGAGGGAGCAAAATACTGGGCTGACGGCTGTGGGGACCATGGTCTCAGGGGACATCTAGCTCAACTGGCATAACAGAGTTTATAAAGAAAATGTTCTACATCCTACTTTGGTGAGTAGCATCTGGGGTCTTAAAAGCCTGTGAGCGGCCATCTAAGATACTCCACCGGTCCCACCCTGTCTGGAGTAAGGGAAAATGAAGAAAACCAAAGACACAAGGGAAAGGTTAGTCCAAAGGACTAACGGACCACAACTACCACAGCCTCCACCAAACTGAGTCCGGCACAACTAGATGGTGCCCGGCTACCACCAGTGACTGCTCTGACAGGGATCACAACACAGGGTCCCAAAACGGAGCTAGAGAAAAATGGAGAACAAAATTCTAACTCGCAAAAACAGACCAGACTTACTGGTCTAACAGAGACTGCAGAAATCCTGAGAGTATGGCCCCCAGGCACCCTTTTAACTCAGTACTGAAGTAATTCCTGAGGTTCACTCTTCAGCCAAAGATTAGACAGGCCCATAAGACAAAATGAGACTAAAGGGGCACACCAGCCCAGGGGCAAGGAGGAGAAGGCAGGAGGGGACAGGAAAGCTGGTGATGGGGAACCCAAGGTCGAGAAGGAGAGAGTGTTGACATGTCATAGGGCTGGCGACCAATGTCACAAAATAATGTGTATTAATTGTTTAATGAGAAGCTAGTTTGCCTGTAAACCTTCATTAAAATAGTATAAAAAATATATATCAAATGACATACTTCAGAGCAGAACTACTTTACCCACAGGAGAAACAATCTGTGTGTTTTTTTACGGCATGTGGTTATTTCAAAGTAAATGTAGGCAGAGACCTACGTTTTCTCTAGTTCCAGCTCTGCAGCCAGCTTGTGTGATCTTAGCCAAGTCATCTAACATCTCTGGTTGTTTCCTATATGAAAACGGTGGAGTTCAACTACAAGTGTTGTAAAATCTCTTCTCCGTCTAAAATTCTATAAAAATAACAATGCACACTCAAAGCCTCCATAGGTGAAAAATGGAAAATTTAGTTCACTTTGAGTTTGTGCTCAACTGCTAACCTAAAGGTTGGCACTTGGAAACCGTCCAGCAGTATCATGGAAGAAAGGCCTGGCGATTTACTTCTGTAAAGATTACAGCCAAGAAAATCCTATGGAGCAGTTCTACTCTGTAACACGTAGGGTCACCAGAAGTCGGAATCGACTTGACAGCAACGGGTTTGGTTTTTGGCTTGATGTTGACTGTGAACAATATCAACTCTAGCTTGAGCAAATCACTGATCTAGACAGAGTACGCACACACTGAAATGCTTATTGTGTTCAGAGAAGATCTCATACATGTGGCTCCAATGTGTATCTATTACAGTCAAATGAATACATGGTATATGCTCATTATACTCACATATAAGATCCATTTTATTAGTATAATAAACCTCGCATAATTTTATAGAATTTAAAAAAAACCATAAATTTATTTCTGTATGATTAATCATGAACTATTAAAATAACAAGCAGCATCCTAAATATTCATTTTCAGAATCATTTTCCTGAACTAGAATGTAGATAATTGGCTACAGTTTATAAAACAGCTTTATCAAAATTAAGATAGTTTTCAGTGGTAAATGGTGTTAGTATATATAATATCACCAGAGACTAAGTGCCAAAATTTCTACTTTAGAAATCTAATTGACAGCAATAACAGAAGCTCCAAATACAGGAATATTAACTGAAAAATAAGTATAGGATTTAATTAAAAAGTACTTTCGAGATCTTGGAGCCCTGGTGGTGCACTGGTTAAGTGCTCAGCTGCTCACCAAAAGGTCAACAGTTCAAATCCAGCAGCCGCTCCTTGGAAACCCTATGGGGCAGTTCTACTCTGTCCTATCGGCTCGCTACGAGTCGGAATCGACTCGATGGCAACGGGTTCGGTTTGGTTGGATTTTTCTCCAACCTTACTTGAAGTAATTTAATCAGTTCAATACCTGTCCATGAACGCAGGTGATTATGAAATACTATGAAGGAGACCTTTTTGTCGCACACGGTGCATTTTTCATTGAACAGCGTATCATTCTAAGGGAAATTTCTGCCTATCCTCGTGTGTGACGGCACCAACGAAGCAGGAAGGCTGCTGGTGACACGAATACACGCCGACCGCCGACCGGAACAGACCACAACACGGCCGCGGGACACAGCGCCTGGGCTCTGACACACATCTGTGATCTGTTCTCCAAGTAGCTGTGACCTTGGCCAAACTCCTTTTATAAGGAAAAGACAAGAATTCCATCCCACAGTTCAGGATGTTTTGTAATCAAGGAAGTACTGCATAAAAATACACGGATGAAAAGCCACGAAAGTCAATGGCTGCTCATATTTCTTTTCGATTAATCTATTTATCTTTTAAAAGAAGGTGTCTAGTCGAAATTGGTATTGTTTTCTTTGTGGGTTTTTGCAGAAGGTGGGGAGCAGTGAAAGAATCTGAAGAGTATGTGTTTTCCAGAAAAATAATAAACACATTTCTTTAGCTAGCCACCAAAAAATAAATAAATAAAGTAAATAAAGTTCTGTGTGTTTACAAAAGTAAGCTTTTGTAAAGTTTTGTTTTAGGAATTCAACTCTCCCCTTAAAATTTAGTGTGGATGAGAATTGGTATTACCTACTCTTAACAATACCGCGTTTCAGCGGTCACTGTTTTTAACCGACACTCTCAGGCCTAAATATTCCTGAAGATGAAATGACCACATCTCAAAAACAACTTTGGCGTCTATCAAAGCTGAACTAACGGGAGAATTAAAGATCCTAACAAATCATCCTGCATACCAACAGAAAATTCATTCAGTGCCATCCCACCTTTTTTCATTTCTTTTTGAAAAAGCATTTTGCCCCCTAATTCCTTTACAACTCAAACAGAGCTTTCTCTTCCCTTCTGCCAAGGCCTCCAGAACAGTGTTTCATAGCAACAGCTGTTACAAAACCCGGCAGTTGAAAATATTCCCCAGGGAAATATGAAGCGTGTTAACCATACCTACCTTCAAAAAGTATAAGAAAAAGCAAACAGAATGGACCCTACTAGTGGCTACATCCTTACTCTCAATACTACCAGTTCAGGAAATAAATGTCATTAACCCGCATTAATACTAAAATCCTGTTAGTGTATTTAAGGCAGTGTAGACACAAAGCATTATCTCCTTAATAACAGAAGAGGCTGTAAAAAAACGATTATTAAAAAAAAAACAGGATCGCAATGTACTTCCATCTTTCATTTTAGTCTTTACAGCAGCAAAGCAGATTTTATCAATATACAAAATATAAACAAATTGAGCTTTGAAGGAAATGACAGAACCCTTGCCACTGGCAGAATGTGACCTTTCGGGAGGAGAAAGGCAGGTTTTTCTGAGATCTCAAAAAAAGCACATCTTTAGAAACTAAAAAAGAAAATAAAAGTATTTTCGTTTTAAGGAAAATACAGCCATGCAACTTATTTTACAAATAAGATTTTTATCCCACTAATTTTTTTTTTCCAGCACTTATCACATATGGCTCTTAAAATTATACCTCACCATTCTCTGTGTGAGAAAGAATGAGCCATTTCTCAACTTGTCTGGTACAGGGGCACTAGAAGGTATCAACTTTTCTGTGTCACCCAGTACAACTTTATATATTAATTTTCTCTTGCGGGAAGCTTAAATGCCAGACACATTTTTAAAAAGGACAAACACAATTGATCTTTTCATCACTACAATCTTCTGAAATAGAGTTGATTGATGACTCCTAGGAACAATAAAAAAAAAAAGGTGGATGTCCTGGTTTTCTTCAAATTCTAATGCTTCCCTAGCGATTACTAAGTAAATGATTAATATGCTGAACTTGCTTATTCTTCTTCTTATTCAAAATCCAAAATTTAGAGGTAAAAAGCAAAGATGAAACAGCCATGTTTTGTGCCAATAGAATCAGTGAGTAGCTACAGATCACTAGCCTGTAAGAGTTCTATAAATAGAGGCAAGACCTTCCCTAATTCTTAATATAAAAAAACTTCAGCCAAAACAACCGAACAACAAAAAGTGTGCCTGTGGGGGGCGGGGGGGAGGTGGAGGGCTGGAGATAGGAACTACGAAGGTAATTCACAGTAAGAGTTGAAGGCAGGAGACTTTTCCTCTTCAGAACTTCATTTGGGATACAGGAAGCTTCCAACTCTTTTCTATATTAAAAAAAACTCAGGGCCGTTCAGTTGATTCTGACTCATAGCGACCCTACAGGACAGAGTAGGACTGCCCGATAGGGTTTCCAAGGAGCGGCTGGTGGATTCAAACTGCCAATCCATGGGTTAGCAGCCGAGCTCTTAACACTACACCACCAGTGATGTTACAAAAATAACGTTATGGTACTTCGAGGCTGCCAAATCTCACGCGTAATATTTCTTTACTATAAAGTCTAGATTTTGATCAAATTTGGGCTAAAATAATGACATGAAATTTTATCTAGGCTTTTGAAAACCCGGTGAATAAATTCTTTCGAGGCTTCCCCAAATCAACTTTTAAAAGCATCAGATACGTATTTTCAAAAGCAACCAGCACTTCTTTGCATTGAACATGTTCAGAGTTCATCTCACTGAGCATTTCCTGACCACAGTAACAGCTTCAGGAGGCACCTACCTTCGCCTTCAACTTGAGAGTGATCAGATGCTCTCTACCAGAAGCATCTTGGGCTTTTAACTTGAAGGTGCTGAAGCCAGTATCCATATACACGACTCTGGGGAGTAGAAGAGAATAAAAAAGGATCACACTGGGGGATGAGGGAGGATTGGAGGATGGTAGGACTCAGAATGAAAATACTTGCTATGTTCCCATTAATCCATTACAAAAATTAATCAGCGGAATATCTGCATGGCGGCCATTTCTGCTGCTATAGATTTACTGCCGTCAATACAGTGGCCTGGTGCTGAAAGCAGCCATACATCTCCAGGTTATTTACAATGTGTGTCAAGCTCATGCTGTGGTCAGTGAGCTCGATGTTTTGGGTTTCCATCACTGGAACCTCTGGTACACACCACATGTTCCTGTCAGCCTCTACTTACGTACACATTAAACTTCCTGTCAAAGTCTTTGATCCATTCCTGTAGTTTCATCTACAGTCTGAGACTTATGCTTCTCCTTTATTTGTTTTTCTCCTCAATGAACTTCTCCTTTATCATCAACACCGTTACTGTACAAAAATCTGGCTGCTATTAGTTCATACGCTCAAATTGATCCTCTCAGGAAAGTGCTGGATAAGCACAGGTACAACCTGGTCTCCTAACAATAAATTTTCTTCTCGCACAATATATAGCCCCTGACACTTAACCTGGGCATGTACTCAAGATGACTAATATTTTAAACAGACAGCATAAGCATAGTTGTTTTGGCTTAAAATGGCTCTAAATGAATGGATTTTCTACAATGGAAACGAATACCCTTTGAAATACATCATTCTGTAAAAATATGGCCCCTTGAGTAGCATAAGCTGCTGCCAAAAAGGGTTCAAATTTAGCAGTAGATCTACCAGTGAACTGGGCATGTGGACATTTTCTGACGTTTTTACAATCCTATCCTCTTGTTCAAAGATAAAAAGTGGTCTAAAGGCTCTGCACAACATGTCACCCAGATTGGTGGCACAGCCCATTGGTATTCAAAACTAACATTAGCCTCCTGACCTAGGAAACATTTTTTTACCTTCACAACCGAGCCCTGGTGGCGCAGTGGTTAAGAGCTCAGCTGTTAACCAAAAGGTCAGCGATTTAAATCCACCAGCCACTCATCAGAAACCCTATGGGAAAGTTCTACTCTGTCCTATTGGGTCGCTATGAGTCAAAATCAACTTGACAGCAGTGGTTCTGGTTATCAGCCAGTGTGGTCACTGGCCAGGTGTAATGGTAAAATGGGTCAATTTCAAGAAATGCTGCACAATGAAGCTGTGGAATAGTTTGTACGAAAAACAGACCTAAATCTGAAGAGGATACATATCTTCAATATCGGAATAAAAAGTAAAACAAAGCAATCTGTATTAATTGATGAAAATTTTATCATAAATGTTTATTTACATAAAAATATCAATGCTTATATACATTTTAATGTATAAGCATTGCATATAAGCATATATATACATATACTTAATACTCTTTTAGCTTTATCTGTAAACATCTTATCCCAAAAAATTAGAACATTAGTCTTTAGCACATGTATTATCCATATGACTCAGATACATAGGCATCTGACTCTCTGAAAACACCCACACTTCAGAATTACGACACTGAACTGAGCACATGCATTTATATCCTCTTAGAGGGAGAAAAGAAGGAACAACCAAATCACCAAGTAGTACTTCTCCCACTTCATGTAACTGCTTGTTACCAAATTGTCCAACATCATTATTGAACATCTATAAAGAGAGAAATAACCACTAGCTCTGGTCCTTTGTTTGCAAACACACAAACACAAGATTTTCACCATTCCACAAAGCTTAGGACACAGAAGTAATACATCAGAGAAAAACAGTGATTTGTCAAAATATGGCCTCTCAGTCAAAACAACTGTAAATCTTGTTAAACTTTATGAATTAAAATAATACCATAAAAATACTTATAATTTTCATGTTAATCTCAGCATGGTCTTTTAAGAGTAAGGAACACTTTACCCATGTTGATTTCTTGCTACTCTGGGGGATGGAGAGAAACTTTAATGTTATTATTAACACCTTGAGTACATGGGACCTAGATTGCCAAATGCCCTCTAGTAGCCATTCTTGCCTTCTTCCTTTTAGTAACAGAATCCCTCACCCTACCCCACCTCCCATGAAACCAAGTTTTAGCAAAGTACAACTCCATTCGGCGAGTGATTCTTCCAGTCTGCCCATGCAGCAAGGCATCCTCGTATTACCAAATTTTGGTCAGTGGGATGCAAGCAAAGTGATACATGCATCTTCTGAATCATTTGTAACAGAACTATTCGCCTTCCACTCTGTTTCTCCTTCTCCCTTCTTGTGGACTAGAGCGCGGCCAGGCCAGTATGAGCCAACAAAGAGTATGCACGCAAGAACGACACTCTAGTGCAGCACAGACCAACAAAACCTTCTGCAATGACAAGGTGTTCCGTATCTGCACTGTCCAATACAGTAGCCACTGACCACATGTGGCTACTGCGTACTTAAAATGTAGCTAGTATGGACAATGAATTCTTATTTTACTTTATCTGAGTTAACTATAAATGTAAACAGCCTCATGTGGCTAGCAGCTACTGTATTGAACAACGAAGTTCTAGTGGATGGCTGAGTAACAAGTTAAAAAGAACCCACTCTTTTATTTATTTTTTTTTCTTCTGTGGTTTAGATGAAAGTTAACAGCTCAAGTTAATTTCTCATCTAAAAATGTATACACATGTTGTTATGCGACATTAGTTGCAATCCCTGCAAGGTGACAGCAGGGTCCCCCTTTTCACCCTGGGTTTCTTGTGTCCATTCAACCAGTTCCTGTTCCTTCCTGCCTTCTCCTCCTGCCCCTGGACAGGAGCTGCCCATCTGGTCTTGCATATCTGACTGAACTGAGCAGCACACTCCTCGTGACTATTACTGTCAGGGCAGGCATTGGTGATAGCTGGGCACCATCTAGTTCTTCTGGTCTCAGGCTGATGGAGTCTCTGGTTTATATGGACCTTTTGACTCTGCCACAAACCCACTCTTGACCACCTGCCTATCTCTCAACTGTTCAATGAGAGATAATAAATTTCTATCTTGTTTGAGCTCAGGCTGCTAACCAAAAGGTCAGCAGTTCGAAACCACCAGCTGCTCCTTGGAAACCTGGGGCAGTTCTATTCTGTCCTATGGGGTTACTACGAGGCAGAAGCAACTTGATGGCAACGGGTTCAGGGTTTTTGTTGTTGTTATTGCTGTTAGAGCAGCTTAGCCTGTATGCTAACTAATAGAGCATATTTATATTTATTCTTGATAGAAAAGGACATCTTAGAGTTTAGGTTTATGGAAGAGATACTAAAAGGAAAAAATCATCTTTTCTAAGAAAGTCTATTTCAGTGTTCTGCCTTATTGTTAGGCCAGGTATCTCATTCTAGACAATATGGAATGAATAATTTTTATTCATTTAAATAAAACAAATAATCCATTTAAGTCATAAATTTACAAACTTCCCATTACCGCAAAACTCAAATTTTTGAAACATTATTATGTTAAGATGCTAGCAAAATACCCACAAAATCACATATAAAATTTATATTTAGAAAGAGTTTAGGTATTTATTGTTTATCTAGGCATATTCAAAACTTGACTAAGAAAATATAAAACATAAATATAAAATCTAAAGCAATAAAATATCATACTTTTGGCACTCCATTTTGTTCTGTATTTATCATTTGCTGCATTTGTTTATAAGTCAGCTTGTAATAAAACAATGGCACTAAATGTGAGAGTGAAGTTTTTTAAACATCTGAAAAGAGTGTTAATCCTTAAGCTTTCTGTTGTTGTACTGCTGTTACTAGCTGAATATTATCAGTACAGAGAAACAAAAGGCACACACTTTATTTCTCTTGGAAGGCTGCACTTATTTTGACCAACAGATATTTAGTTTTTCTTTTCCCTATCTAGATATATTTACATCACAACAACATCAAAAGGCAGACTAACGAGTTTCATTTTTTAATAAAACATCGAAGTTTCCGTTTTCTACTTCATACCTAGATTACTAAATGCCACCTCCCTGATGGGTATTTACATCCTGTTGCTTCTTTACATCCATCTGTCCTGTCCTCTGTGTCTAGATTAATCTTCCCAAATACCTTTAACTGGTGGCGGAATGGTTAAGAGCTCGGGCTGCTAATGAAAACGTCAGCAGTTCGAATCCACCAGCTGCTAGTTGGAAATGCCATGAGTCAGTTCTACTCTGTCCTACAGGGCGGCTACGAGTCGGAATCAACTCGACAGCAACGGGTTTGGTGTTGGGTTTTTTTTTTTTGCTCAAAAATATTCAATAAGTCACCATCACCTGCATAAAAAGAATTCTTAGTCTATTAGTCAGCACTCTTCACAGTCTAGCTCGAACATTTTAATCCCCTTATGCGAGCAACTGATCTATTTCAAAATCCAAAATGAATTCACATTTCCATCACTCAAGTCATGCCTCCACCGTTCTCTCCTTCCTAAGGCTTTACATCCTTCCAAAGCTTATCACGATGCCACCTCCTCTAAGAGACCTGCTTAACAATTTGTAGCCCAAAAGGACTCTGCCTTTTTCTAAACTCCCACATTACTCCTTTTCATGTACGTTTTAGCTTCCCACTCAAATGAGCTTTTATATAAGAAACACGAATGTTTTATATTACTATGTATGTGTCAATGTGCTATGTATATATGAACACAGGAAAGCTGTTATCAGACTGGTTCATGTTTTTCGATTCACGTATAACATTTAAACAGCTGAATGCAAATTCTGTTCAAATCAATAATAGAGACATTATCAATTCAGAAAAAAATAACATTTTCATTACCAGATAATGTGTAGTGACTCAGTGATTTAGGTTAACATATGAAGAAAAATCACCCAATTTATAAAGGTAACTTAGACTAAAAAATTGTACTTGTTAATTTCTATGCTCATATGTAATACAACAAAAATTATGATTACTTGTTATAATTAGATCATAGCACTAATTAACTAAGTGTTATAAAATTCAGATATAGTCTGTCATTGTTGGGTGAACTAGTAGCTCAAC